CTTTTTACCTAACGAATAGTGGGATTGACCGTAACATTATAACGCCCCCACGGCTGAAAGGGCGAGCATGTTTGGTGTGACGGGGATTCGAACCCGCGACACGTAGATTGCGAGTCGAGTTCCCTAACCACCTGGCCATGCCGGGCACCAGTTATCAGTTACTCCCTTGATAAATTTAAAAAATTAGAAATTACATAAGACCATAAAGAGAAAATATTAGAATACAATATAATCCCACGTAGTACCAAATGAATCCCAACAATTTGGAAAAAGACCTAAGCAAGGAACAAGCCATCAGAAACAGAATAACAAGCAAGTGGTTAAGAATAAGGAAAAAACACAGTTAAATCATCAAGAGACTGGAAAATAAAAGTTTGTAATACCGTCACCAGTTCTTTTCTTAAACATTCAGGAGCATCTAGGATTCAAATAGGTTGAGTAATAAACATTGTAAGTTACTTTTACTTGTTTCAAATACAATTTGAAGATTGTTCTACAGCTACATTTTTACTTAAACTTCAAAGTTTATGTAAAATACAACACTAACATTCGTCTTTGTTTTGACGACACTAGAACATAAGTTTATAATTCTCTAGATAACAAACTACAATTAGTCTAAAATCTTGTTTAATTAAATTCGAATGATAGATATTTACGACATTCTTTAAGTGGTACACATCTAAATATGATTGCTGAAACGCTAGCAGAAAAAGTAAATGGTGGCATCTTCAGTGTCTGCCAAAAAAAAAACCATTTAATTAATATGACTGCAATATAGAAATTGCAAATTTTACATAAAGTAAAAAAAAAATATAGTTTATATCATTTTGTAATACAAGGCGATAATACCAAATTATTTAGATTAAAACTTGCTGTAAATCGAAAATTAAGATAAAATTCAAATAGAAGTCAAACCTTTGAAGAAGGTTAGCAAGGGTAAAAGTTCTAATACTATTCGTGCCACGTTTTCAGTTCTCAGAAACATAAAGTATTTTTATTCGTAAGATAACATTATCACTGATATTATCGCCACCACTGAGTTTGAACGAGAGGATTTTAATTGAACGTCTATAGAAACAGTAAAATTCTGTTTTGTCTTCTATGTACCATTTCTCTCAGAACGCATCATAAAATGATGCTAGTAATATTTCACATATCACGATGATTATAACAGTAATATATTTCACTTTATTCTTTTGCAATCTCCGATTCAGTATCTCTCGTAAATCGCAAAAAAAATAAAAAATCACGCACCTTCTCCGGATGAATTATCCGACGTAACGTCTTGTAGACTGCTGCTTCTTCGATTAAAACAATAGTTCTGTCTGTGAGCCTGGAGCGTAGTGCTGTTATTAAATGTGATCCCACATACTTCACACAGGAAACCTTGTTGGGTAGTAAACCAAATATATGTTATTGAGGTTACTAGGTGATTTGATGAATATCTTAATCATATGTAGAAACAGTAGGAAATTATCAACTGAAACATTTTTTAGGTGATAGTATAAAATAAACTTAGAAAATCATGGATAGATGGCAGCAGATAAAGTACCGGCCGAAATAGGGTGAAATATCTAACTATATATTTTGAACACATTATTCGCTCAGAACTTCGAAACTAATATTTATGAGATAAACTGGAGCAGGCATTTAAAAACTTCGACATAAATACATGAAAGAAAGAAAGAAAAAAGAAAAGTAAAGGGAGACGGATAATGTACCTGTTTTCCAATATTGTACTTCCGATAAGGCATTCTCAGTGGAAACCTGGATAGTTGATGCTTCAAGAGACAAAAAGGGAACATACATAAGGGGGAATCCAAAAATTAACATATGGTTTATTACCTTTTAAGAACATATTTATCTTTTTTTAGTTTATAAATAAGCCATTAAAACATCAGTCAGAGTTTAAATCAAAGTTAAACAATTATTTGTTAAATTGTAGTACTGAAAAATAAAACTTTCAAAGCTGGTTACCGATTCGTCTAAAGAGAAACATGGACAACAATAAGGAAATTATTAACTCAGCTTACTATTAAATTAAAGTTTAACTTTAACATTTTTCCCACAATTTTCTGAATCAGACATCTATAATAATTTACTTTTCTTCTTCTACAATGTGAAAGATAACTTGTTTTTTAGTCATTATCATAGACAAGAAAAACGAGGGTAAAGGTGGTATGAAATACATACTTCTCGATACTTCAAGCACATACTATTTTATGATGCTTTTCTCTTCTCCTGGTATTTTTTTTTTACATTAATAACTTAAAATTTAAATTACACGCTTATTACCATAATATTATGATAAGTTAAAAATATATAAACACATATATATGTATATATATATATATGTTACTACGATTATTTTATGTCACTATTGATAAAAATCTATTTCTGTGGGGTAGAGCTCCCTAACCACCTAGCCATGCCGGGCCATTTATCTTTTTAAAGGAATGAAAAAAAACTCTTCATGTTACGAACACACTTCCCACCACTAAATCTCTTATTGCAGCTTCCACTGTTTGAGCAAATACAAGTAGGATCACATGCCTCATGCACTCTTATTTTATCACATTCTTGCCCTATTTACAGTTCTAAAACAATTTAAAAGTGATTAATTTCACACCACACATTTCCAGTCATTCACTTTAGGCTCTAAGCGCCTCTGGAGATCCTTTTTTCTGTTTGTTCTTGAGATGGGCAATGTTCAGACTGGCTATTTACAGCCATGTGACGTGTGCTATAATGACCTTCGCGTGATATCCTGGAGAGAGCTGAATCCTGACTTCTTATAATGGGAGTATCTGCAGCACAACCTGTTGTCTAACTTTTTTCAACAGTCTGTCGCCAATATTTAAAAATTATTGTTTATTTGTTGGTTATCACTTCTGGCAGAGTCTGATGACAGATGACTATGAACTGTCGGTCTCAGAAGTGGTCTTTGATAACGACACTAATGCTAGACGCGTACCCACTCAAATACACCTCTTTTAAGTTTTACATATTTTTGTTTTTCCTCATTGTCTTCCAGACTTATTGTAATTACACAGTATTTCTGCACTTATATAACTCAAACTGTCACCCGAAATACCATATGAACATTGCCTTTTGTACAGTAAAGAATTTAGATCTTTTGTCACATGTTTTTAGGGACTCCTAATAAAACAGTCAGTGGTTTATAATTATTAATATTTTTAAATTCTGTTATTTATCAGAAATAGCAAACATCCCCTTTTCATTATCTCGAATAAGTGGATAATCTTAAGGTTTTATAAAACATGCAAAATACCACATGCATTTGTAATTTCAAATAATCTAAGAGACCACAACAAAAAGGTACATCTTTCGTTGCTTTGAAAAATAAAATACATGGAAGTTGACATTACTTTTGAAACTTAAAAGTAGCAATCAGATTTCAATGGTCACAGTGTTCCTTCTATGTTCCTTCTTAAGATAAGTATTTTTTATGGTTGTTTTCTTTCGACTGCTAATTTAAATAACTCTTAAATATCTATGTTTATACTAACATTATCAATATTCGTCAAGTAATAATCAAGCTAGATTGTGGAGTGTTCAATGCCACGAGTTTGGAAAATATGAGATTACTTTTCAAAGAAACACTCTACTATGAACTGTTTGATACTTTCCTTGAATGGCAATTTGTATATATTTTGTATTTTCAATTTTTATTTTGGCTTTGGAATGTTTTAGATATTGTAGTAGCATGTATTCGCAAGCGTGACGCTACAATTATCGCACATGCAAACTCATTGCCGTGTGAAATTATTAAGAAATTTTAAAATTTCACTAAAAAATATAAATTCTATTTTGGAAGAGATCATAGCTTATCTGGATGTTTTTATGAAATATATGATAAAAATTCTAGTTTGTTCAGCGCAAAGCTTTCAAAAACAAATTAAAACGTACAATATTTGAAAATAATAATAGAATATAGCTGTCTCGAGTTGAAAATGATTGCTTAGAGGGAAGGTAGTTATTGAATAACACCCACTGCTAACACTTAGCCTGTTGTTACCTTCCCAAAAAGTTGGATTTCAACGCCACTCTTATAACGCAACTACGGCTCCAAAGTGAAATGCACGTTTCGCGACAACGTGATGCGAACCATGAATCCTCGAATTCACAATCCTCGTAGGCAAACCACTAAGCCCCGCCCGGTACATATTACTGATCGCGAAGTCTTATCATGATATGATAGAAGTTTTGGTAATTGAGTATCGATGAAATTGCAAGAGTTGTAAATCCGTTACATTTTTACAACACTTGGAATAGAATATGAATAATATGGAGTGAAGAATGAGAACTGTGTATGAAACTTATAATACAGTAGAAGTTTTAGGAAGTACTTCCTCCTATTTGTTATTTAAGAGAGCTTTTCTTATAATAATAAATAGGAGAGATACTTTACGACAGTGGTTTCCAAACTTTTTTTGACTGACAACATCCTAACTCACATTGACTTGCGTGACACCCATACTGCCACATGCAATATATTTTTGTTTACACTCCTAGCAATTTGCCACGACACGCAAGTGTGTCCCGATAAACAGTTTGGGAACTATTGCCTTACCTACTTCATGTTATATTTATCTTTTATTGTTGTTCAAGGGAATTTTTAGGACCTAAGAAACATTTCCAGGAGTAAGCACAGCTTAAAGCCACCAGATTTCAAAGCTGTATAAATATTTTTTTCCGAACGAGTAAACTTTTGTTAGCTGTAATTGCTTATTTCCTGAGATGACGTGCTTTTTTTTCAAGTCCTTATATTTCTGCTCACCTCTGAAGGTTATGAAAACCTGTTAGTAATCACATCTAACCTGGCTTTGTCATCATACTCAATAGTATACTACCATTATCAAAGAAAAATACTTATTGAAAGCAATTTTGTGTTTCTTTTTTATCGTGTCTGTCTAGTAAAACGATTTTTTTCTTTCGAACCAAGACATCACTTTTGGTCAATTTTAGTTGACTATTTATAGAGGTATGTTAAAGTAATATTTATTTTCATTCTTAATTATTTGAAACTTTAGAAAGTTTCACCTGGTTCTGCGCTTCTCTAAAAGTGTCATGGAATTCTGAAAAGTGGAGTAAGAGAATAGTCTCAAGGTTTGCAGCTGCAAAGCGTAGCAATATCACTTTATCATGTTATAAAATGGCAAATTTGGGTAATTGGCTGAACGATATTGTTGCAGAAGTCATCTGTAATTCATCAACCCAATATAAACAATTTCTTCAATCCTAGAATTGTTTCTCCTAATCACGTTCCTAATACTCCGTATAACAGTGACTACAATTCATGTGCAAATTTGGATCAAACAAAAAATTCAAAAATTGGAGCAAAGCAATAAAAACAAAACAAAATCCACATTTTACAAATGATGAGTGTTTTACTTTCCTTAAAGGGAGTTCCACCTCAACTTTGTGAGGTAAAGGTAAAATGTTTATATTACTCGAATATTGTTTAAATGAATAATTCATCTATTTTTATTCTCCAGCGTTATATATATGGCAAGTGTATAAGTGCGAATGGTAAAAACACTTTATTATGTATAGCACAACATAGTTTCTTCTACAGTATATTACTTCTGTGTCATAGAATTTACTTGATACTGGTTTATGTGTGTGGTGGGGGAAGTGAACAGAGGGTAAATCGCGTTTATTTATTTGTATAAGCTAATGCTGTGGCAAGTTACCACATGTGGAAGCTGTGACATTGTGGGTGACATGTTTAATGCCTGCTTATTTGTTTAGCAGCGAATTCCCCGCCATTTGACTATGCAAGCTGCCACAGATAACCTTTGGATTGAAGAGAAAAATTCATCAAGTAAGGTTGCTCAACAATTCAAAACTAAATGAAAAAGAGTCTTCAACGTCCTTCATGGAAGCGAAAGAACTCGCATAGCTGTGTGTTTACGATAGCAAAAGGTCTCGAAACAGTATCCCAACTCACTCCAGAGAATCACCTGCATTTACATAATGAATGCTTTATTTTTGAAGGCGCGCAAACTCTCTGGTTCTCCAATAAACAGTATTGTGATGAAGCTAAGCATATCTCTTGGTACGCTTAGTAAAATAATAAGTGCCTATTTGGATCTGAGAAAGGCTAAAAAAGTCAACGGTTGTTTTCATGAAAAAGATGGCTGAAGAAAACGAAATCACAGTAACCACATTGGAATACAAACACACCACTGTTAAGTCCATTGGACTTTTATGCCTTTAGTTTTCTTAAATGTGATCTTGGAAACCAACGTTCTCTAACAGGGAAGGGTGTAAGAAAAAGTGTGTCAAGGTATGTGGCCTAAGAAGGAACTTGTTACAATAGAAATTGAGGTGCTGAGCAATTGTGCTAATCATAGCCATCAGACTAAGCACCATCAACGATGAAGGAAGTAATTCCAAGGGTAGCACTGAACCTGGAACATCATTTTTATAACGTGTTATTACCATAATCTTAAAAACCATCAAGTAAAACGCGTTTGTTAATATCAAATATCATCTATTCCCAAGTACTTTGGGATGACAAACTATTTCGAAATCATTAATTTAGTGAAATCTCTGTATATGTTATAAAATGTAATTATCAAAATTTATTATATGATGCAGGTTTTATTGATTATTTAAAGTAAGTAAAGTTATATTTGTTTTTGTAAACGACTTTGCTGTAAGATATTGATACACTGTTTATGAACGATTCGATAATTACATTAAAACTAAACAGTACAGATTAACTTAGTGTTATTGAAGTTTGGTTTGGTAAATCCACTATCGAAGATTTGGCTCCAAAAATGCTATAAGGCAAAATGAAAAATGAAAAAATATACACGACTTTAGATGAGAGTACCTCAGATAACATCTTTAAAATGAAAAATAAACAACATAACATATACACGACTTTAGATGAGAGTACCTCAAATAACATCTTTAAAATGAAGAAAGAACAACATAAAATATGCATGACTTTAGATGAGAGTACTAAAATAACACCTTTAAAATGAAGAAAGAACAACATAAAATATACATGACTTTAGATGAGAGTACCTCAAATAGCATCTTTAATGTGAAGAAAGTCATGCAACCGTAATGATGATACATCTAAATGTTTTTGCTTAAATCATTCAAAACAAATTCTTTCAAAGTATCATACTTGACTTCACTTAACTTATTATCAGTTTTAAAAATATTTAAGTCGCACGAACCCATCTGAATATTATACATCAAAAATGAAAATAAAACTATTTATTACAGTTTCAATATAGAGATTAATATTAATAATTTTACTGTATCAAACAGATATAACTAACAATTTATAGCAATACCACCAAATAATTATCATTTCCGCTAATACAATGAAAAGATACTTATGAATTAGATATGTTATCAGTATGAGAGGTCAGGTGACAGCTGTTAGATTACTTACTTATCGGTAGTGAGTTGGGAACACTAAAGGAGAGCTTGGACATTGGAGTGCTGTTATTGAGCATTAAAGATAACTTTGACAATTTCAAATCTCCGTCGAAATGATTTTCGTCACCTGAGCTGTTTGTAATATCTAAATGTCTCTCCTTTGACAAGCTATTCCTTTGACCACTGCTTGAAGTATCATCTGTCAAAGGTACGGTAACTTTAGATGACCACTGGTTTTCCTTCTTCATGGAATTAACTTCGCCTTTGACCTTAAAGGTAAATGATTTATTGCTCTTCAGCGAGTTGATGGAGGGATCCTGGCATTCGTCTTTCACATTCTTCTTCTCATCATTCTCTTCTAGACTTTGTCTTTTGAATCGAGAAACAAAATAATTACAACTTTTTCTAGAGTGATGATATACTACTGGATAGAAGAGGTCTTGATGAGTGGTAACCGAAGAGTTCCAATGAGGCATGATTCGGTACCAAGCGCATAATTCAACGTCTTTCTCTGTGTCACAATGTACAAGACACCATATTTCATTTCCTAAAATAGTAACAAAACAAAATGAAAAATACTCTTTCTATATTGGCGAAATTTGAAAAGAATGATATATTACATGACAGACTTTTAATAAAACTTAACATATTATTCAACAAACCCCAGAATAGTATCTGTAAACCAAACCTTGAAACACTCTGCAAATTGCTGTGTAAGATATTAGACGTAGAGTTTAAACAAACATTTGTC